CCCCAAAACCCCAAAACCCCAAAACCCCAAAACCCCTATTTTTAAAATTTGATTGAAAGGAAATACATTTAAATAGTCGACTTTGGTCTGACCTTTGTAGATTTTGTAGTACTTCTCCTTGCCTCAGCAAAGCTCTGCTTGCCATAAGCAAGGTAAAGATTGCTCATTTTGCTCTTAGGCAAGTTTTCTTTAAAGCCAGTAGGCTTTAAAGGTTCCTCCTGGGAGGTAATCTGGAAGGTCTCCTTTCTTTTGTGTTCTTCAGTCATGACAACACTGTCATTATGTACCTTGAAGCTACTTCCTTTATCCTGTTTTCTAGAATAACTAGAATTTATGGAAGATGATCTCTTGTCATTTTTAGCTCTAGTCACAGCAGTGTTGTCAAGAGTAGAATTATTAGTAGCAGGCATCATACTCGAGCGGTTATTTCCTCTATTAATTTGCATTGACCCATCCTTTGAGTCAATCCTTATGTGGCCTATAGTTACCTCATTCTCAAAATTTTTAGGGTTAGCAGCTTGAACGAGATGATCTTTTGGAGTAACAGTGGCTTTCATTGTAGTTTTTCCGTATAAAGACCCTAGAGCAATTTTCCTTTTATCTATAATGTCACCACTGTAGCACTTACCTTGGTTAAAAATTTGTGATTGAGTATTTTTCGAATGATTTTTCCGGCTCTTTTTACTTTTAATCCGGATTTGAGCCTGGTTGCTATAATAATTCTCTGCTGCTCTATCATTACGAGTACTGCTTCTTCCTTCCTCACTCATAGCGAGCACAGCTTCTTTCTGTATATTAGTCATATTCGAGGAAAATCTAGGGAAATTTACATGGAAAAATACCTATTCTTCCTTTTCCTGATCTTGATCTTTGCAGTTTGGGTTTTCCTTTCTTTTTCAGGACTGTTGCTCTTCTCTTTAACTGAATATCAAAGCCGAGTGCAATCCTTCCTCTGCTTCTTAATCGAAAATGCTGAGCTAGACCTCATCTGGGATGGCTTCTTAAAGCTCTGTGAAAACTCAGGCTCATACATGAGATGGTTCCCAACATAAATGTATCAAGGGTCATTAGAGTCATAAGAAACAGATGATTTGGAAAACTTCGACATTCATGGCTTGCTCCTTAATTGTTTAAAATTTTCAAAATCTTGGTAAGCCCCTGGCCCGAGCTGCTTAGAAGTAACCCTTGATAATATTTTGTAATCTAAGAACCTTTGCTGCTTTGAAAATGACCCGTTAAGTCTCAATTTTGATTTCTTATTTCTTAGGTAGTGCCTTTACTCCGATCTGGAATCCATCATTAGTGATATTTGGCGCGTAGAAATCAGGCGTTCTTTCATTAGGTGACCTGAACATGAGCATCATTGGCCTCATCTTTTATTTTGAAAATTAAATTATGAAATCTCAATATTTTCTTGTAGAAATGGGGTTTTGGGGTTTTGGGGTTTTGGGGTTTTGGGG